ATGGCCTTTATTATGTTGAGATATATTCCTTCTATACCTAAATTGTTGAGAGTTTTTACCATGAAATTATGTTACATTTTGTCAAATACTTTCGCTGCATCTATTGAGGTGATCATATGATTCTTATCCTTTATTTTGTTAATGAGGTATATCACATTTACTGATTTTCATATATTAAATTATTCTTCTATTCCAGAGTTCACGGTATATGATCCTTTTAATGTGCTGTTAAATTTGATTTGCTAGTATTTTGATGAAGACTTTTGCATCTACATCAGGAATATGAGGAATATTGGCCTCTAATTTTCTTTATTGTCTGTGTCTACTTTTGATATCAGGGTAATGCTGGCCTCCTAAAATGAGCTTGAAAGTGTTCCCTCCTCTTAAATTATTTTAGAAGAGTTAGAGAAGGATTGGCATTCTTCTTTAAATGCTTGGTAGAATTCACCAGTGGAGCCACTGGGTCCTGGGATATTTTTTTTTGTTGGGAGCCTTTTGATTACTAATTCGCTATTCTTACTCATTGGTTTGTTCATGTCTGCTATATTCTCATGATTCAGTTTTGGTAGGTTGCAAGTGTCTAGGAAGTTATCCATTTTTTTTCTCGGTTATTTAATTTGTTGGCATAATGTGAACATATAATTGTTCACATTAGTTTCTTATAATCCATTGTATTCCTATGGTATCAGTTGTAATGTTTTCTCTTTCATTTATAATTTTGAGTCTTCTTTTTTTCTTAGTGTAGTGAAAGGTTTATCAATTTTGTTTATCTTTTAAAAAACCAACTATTGTCTATTTTATTTTTTCTTTATTATTTCTTTTCTTCTGCTATCTTTGGGCTTAGTTTATTCTTCTTTTTCTAGTTCCTTAAGATGTAAAGTTAAATTGTTTATTTGATACCTTTATTTTGTCATTTATCACTATAAACTTCCCTTTTAAAAGTGCTTTTTGTTATATCTATAAATTTTGTTATGTTGTGTTTCCATTTTAGTTTGTCTCAATATTTTTAAAATTTCCCTTTTGATCTCTTCTTTGACTCATTGGTTGTACAGGAGTGTCTTTATTTCCACATATTTGTAAGTTTTCCAATCCCCCCCCACACATACATACGTACAAATTATTGTTTTCTAGTTTTGCAGAGCTTTAGAAAGATACTTAATATAATTTCAGTCTTCTTAAATTTGTTAAGACTTATTTTGTGGTGTAACATATGATCTATCCTGGTTATTATTTCATGTATTCTTGAAAAGAATATGGATGGAATGTTCTATATAGGTTTGTTAGGTTCATTTGGTCTACATTGTGGTTCATGTCCACTATTTCCTTATTGATTATCTGTCTGAATAATCTATTCATTTTTAAAACTGGGTTATTGAAGTCCCCTACTATTATTGTATTCCTATTTCTCTCTTTAGTCTGTTTTGTCTCATGTAAGTATAAATATCTCTGTTCTTTTTAAATTTCCATTCCCATGGAATGTCTTTCTATTCATTCACTTTTAGCCTATGAGTGTCCTTAAAGCTGAAATATGTCTCTTGTTGGCAGCCTATAGTTGGTTTTTATTTTTCTATCCATTCAGTCACTCTGTGTTTTTTGATTAAATAATTTCTTCCATTTACATTTAAGGTAATTGTTGATAGGTACGAACTTACTATTTGCATTTTGTTAATGGTTTTTAATTATTTTGTTATTTTTTTCCTTTCTTCCTTTTTTCTGCCTTCCTTTGTGATGTGATGATTTTGTAATGATATGCATTTATTTCTTTATCTTTTGTATACCTACTAGAGATTTTTTCTTTGTAATTACCATGTGGCTTACAGAAAACCTCTTGTGGTTCATATATTTATATATAGCTGACATCTTAAGCTAAAAATAACTTCAACTGCATATAAAAACTCTTTACTTTAACTTCCTTCCCCACATTTTATGTTATTGATTTCACAATTTATATCTTTTTATGTTGTGTATATATTAACCAATTATTTTAACTATAGTTATTTTTAATGCTTTTGTATGTTAACTTTTATTTTAGAGTTAAAAATGACTATGTACCACAATTACAGTATTATGGTATTCTGAATATGATTCTATTCTTATCTTTACAGTGAGTTTTATCATTTCATGTGATTAGTTAGTATCTTTTTGTCTCAACTTGAAGAACTTTTAGCATTTCTTGTAAGGTAGGCAGTGGTGATAAAGTCCCACAGCTTTTGTTTGTCTGGGAAAGTCTTTATTTCTTCTTCATTTCTGAAGGACAGCCTTGCTGGTTATAGCATTTCTGGTTGGCAGTTTTGTTTTTTTTTCTTTTTAGCACTTCAAATCTATCATACCACTCTCTCCTGGCCTGAAAGGTTTTTGCTGTGAAATATGCTAACAGTCTCGTGAAGGTTCCTTTATATGTGATAAGTTGATTTTGTTTTGCTATATTCAAAATTCTCTTTTTGTCTTTGACTTTTCAGAATTTCATTATATTGTGTCTGGTGAAGATCTCTTCAGATTTAATCTATTTGGGGTTCTTTGGACTTCATGGATCTGGAGGCTCATTTCTCTCCCCATATTTGGGAAATTTTGTGTCATTATTTCTTTAAATAAGCTTTCTGCCTCTTTTTCTTTCTGTGCTTTTTCTGTGACTCCTATAATGTATATATTGGTGAGCTTGATGGTGTTCCAGAAATGCCATAAGCATTCTTTACTCTTTTTCATTTGTTTTTCTTTGTTGATCCTCTGAATTGGTGATTTCAAATGACCTGTCTTCAAGCTCACTGTTTCTTCTTCTTGATTGAATGTGCTGTTGAAACTTTCTGTGGAATTTTTCAGTTCAGTCATTGTGTTCTTCAGCTCCAGAATTTCTGCTTGGTTCTTTTTTGTGGTTTCTATCTCTTTGTTGAACTTCTCATTTTGTTCATGTATTATTTTCCTAATTTCATTTTGTTGTAGCTCATTAAGCTTCTTTAAGGTGATTATTTTGAATTCTTTGTCAGGCAATTCATAGATCTCCATTTTAGAGTGGGTTATTGCAGATTTATTTTATTATTTTTATTATGTTGTATGTTCCTGGTTGTGTTTCTTGCATTGATATCTGCACATTTGAAGAAACAATCCCCCTCCCTGTCTTTATGGACTGTCTTTGACTGAGAAAGACCTTCACTAGACTTCCTAGCTAGAGATTCTAGGCCTTCATCCTTAACTTCCCCAGGTGTCCAGTTGTCCCCCCGACCTTTGTTTCAGGAACCTGTAATCTCTTGCTCCCTCTCATGTCTGATTTGTCAGTACATAGATCTCCATTTCTTTAGGGTTGGTTACTGGAGCTTTATTTTTTTCCTTTGGTGGTGTCATGTTTTTCTGATTATTCATGATCCTTGCGGCCTTGCATGGGTGTTTGTACATTTGAAGAACTAGGTACCTATTCCAGTCTTTATAGGCTGGCTTCAGCAGGAAAAGATCTTTACCACTTTGGTCAGAGAATCTGAGAATGCTAGCTGGCAGGGTCTGTGAGTGTGATTGTTGCTGGAGTCCTGGGGCATGCTATCCTGGTGCCAGTTTCAGTGCACAATCAGGCTCAGTGCCTAGGTCCATGAGGATAAGCCTGGAGGCTGTATATCAACTGGGACAGGCCTGGAGCTTGATATGCATGGGCAGGCCTTGGTGCCTAAGTTCATGATGATAGATCTGAACTGGGCCTGTGAGGGCATCTCTGGAGCCTGGGTCCATGGGGCCATCCTGGTGCTGGGGTCTACTGAGGCATACTTATTGACTGGGTCTATGAGGACAGGTTTGGGGCTTAGCTTTGTGAAGGCTAGCCTGATACCTAGGTTTACTAGGGTGGGCTTGGAGCTTGGAACCATGGGGGTGGGCCTAGAGTCTTAGTCCATGAGGGCAAGCCTGCAGTCTTGGATTGCATGTACTGGCACTGGGGCAGGCCTGGTATCTGGGGCAGTGAGAGCCATCCTGGAGCCTCGGGCCATAGTGCCAGCCTGAGGCCTGGGACTGTGGGGTTTATTCTTTTCTTAATTTGCTAGGTTTTTATTTCAGTGTGTCTAATTAGCTGCTTAATTCTTCCATTTTATTGTTTTTAAATTTCTTTCCTGTAATAATTTTTAACATAATTTTTATATTATCCATCAGAAGTTTCAGTTATTAGAAACTCTTAGGGATTTAATCAAATTTTTTATTACATGTGCTCATCTTCACTGATGGTTGATTTTTTTAAATATATATGTTTTGTAATCTTGGATTGTTGGCTCATCTTCAGGGGGCTTTATCTAAGAGAATGTCTGGTGCTTGGTTTTGGGTATTTTTTTCAGTGTACTTTTGTATTTTCCTACCCCAAGGGTCCAAAGGATATTTATTACTAGTGTAAAAAAATCATCATGCCTATTTTTTGGATATTTCTACACCAATTAGGTAATATAATTTAAACCTCAAATATACTTCAGTGGTGTTGGACCATGGTAAGAACGATTTCTGAAGATTTTTTTCTTCGCCCAGGCCAAATCAGATGTACTTCTCTTTAACATCTCTCTGCTAGTGGGTGGATTTTTCAGTCCTCCTTTCATGAAGGGTAAAATTATTTGAAAGTTTCAGCCTAGCTTCTTTACACACATGGATGTGAAAATACAAACCCTTACAATACCAAGATTGGCTGCTTTCTTCCATGAAGATGGCCAAGCTGTACATGCATTTACTTATTGCTCAGCTTTTTAGCACCCTCTGTATTTCTCACTCTCTTTTAGGCTCAGCTCTCATTTAAAAAATGTTTGTACAGGGAACATTTTCAGGACACCTAGTCAACAATATTGCTAGCCCCAGAAATCCCTTTTGATTCTGTCAAAAGAGCTTTTAACAGAATCACGTGAGAATCCAGGCATAGAAGAGCTTTGAAGACTAATGAGAATTTATTATGACTCCTAAAAAGACGTGTTTATTGAGGATCTTAATTTGAAAAATAATTCTCTTACCATCTGGGCTAACTTGCTTTTCTTTTTTCTCTCCTGATTTAGGGATGCACTTCTTTTGATCCAATGGAACATAAGAGCTTTCATGGCTATGATAAACTGGCCCTGGGTGAGGCTTTTCTTCAAGATCAAGCCTCTTGTTAAATCTGTGGCAGTGGGAGAGGAGAGAGCCGAACTGAAGGAAGAGTGTGCAACTGCGAAAAGTCTTGGAGGATTCAGAATCTCAGACGGAGGAACTGAAAGCGAAGCAAGTTTCCCTCATTCAGGAAAAGAATGACCTTCTTCTTCAGCTGCAGGCTGTCAGTGGCTCCACTATTTGTTCCTTAAATCATGCTTTTAATTAGACTCCCTTGTTTCATAGGCAGTGTTGATTTGAAAGAAATAGAAGCACCAGCTCTTCAAATAACAAGATTTTATTCTATAAAACACAGACAATGGCAACACTTAAAGAGACACCCTATTTCACAGTGAATTGATTTCATTATCAGGATGTCTTTTGAAAAGGGACAAATTATCAGTGGGTTTTTATTATATAGTAGCACTGTAATCTATCACTGGGAGCCAGGAAGCTCTGTGTCTTGAAGTTTGTTGGTAGCCCATGACCTGTTAGCAAATCAGCAGACAGGATTTTAGTAGGTCCTGAGAAAAGCTTGGCTAAGACTTCAGGATTAATGCTGTGTGTGCTTGTTGGATTTCCTGATTATGGTCTCTCTACCTACCCTTCTCTAGTCCAAATCAACATTACTAATGAGTTGAGTTCTTAAAACAGTTCTTAATTGTGGGTTTGTATCAAATTCATTTGTGAAACATTAAAAAATAAAAAGAAAGATGCCTAGGCCCCACTCAGATATTTTGATTAAGCAGGCCCTGTATGGGTCCAGTGAATCTGTGTGAGTGATTCTGATATCCAGTCAGGATTAAGAACAATTGTCTTAAAAAATAAAGCACTGTATTCCTTCCCTGATGAGCAACCTTCAGATTCTATAATGTATACATTTTAGGCTCCAAACCCCTGGTCCTGAGGCCTGTCTCCAGTCTGAGGCTAATATGCTATTACTCCCTTTCACATTCCTCTCCCCAGCCACCTGGACTACTGTGATCCCTAAACATCCTAAAGGGCAGGGATGAGATTTTAACCACTTTTATTATACTGTCCTTCCCACTTAGCACAGGGCTAAGTTGAAAAATGCTGGGTCCAAATATAATTATTTTTAAACTTATTGAAAACAGAAAAAAAATTAGTACTTTCAGACTGTTCCAAGTTATTCTTTTATTTTGGAGCTATGCTATCTGCAAATGTGCAAGCAGGTCACATTTCGCATAAGACTTTACAAGCAATCTCACATTTCTGATGCATAGTTAACATGGAAGTGATTCTAAAGCTTTAGTGTGTACCAGTCTCACCTGGAATCCTTGTTAGACATACAAATTCCTAGGCCCCATTCAAACGTACTTTAAGAAATTCTAAGAATCCTTAAGGAAGAGGTAGCTTTGGATGATACCTGGCCTCCCAGTTTCCATCATTCTTCCTGTTGATGGAGGGCAGCCAGTGCCACCTGGGGTGATGTAGGAGCTAAGAGTGGACCCACCTTGTGCAGGGTGTGGTAGGTAATGGGGAGCATGGGAAACACATGGAAGCAAATTCCAGAGCAAACCCGGGAAGGCTGAGATGAGTTCGAATTTTAACTGTGATTAAGAAGTTGACAGACCTATGAAATATTTTGTTATAATTTATTTTTAAGGAACACAGCTAAGCACAAACGTGATCAAAGAAACAAGGATTCTTTTAAAATCCTTCACTTAGTCAAAATTCCAGCAGAACTGAGTGAACCCATTCCAATTAACATTGTGAGTATGTCAAAGAAAAACTGCCATAGGGGAAAGGATCTTCCTGCTGTTAAACTGCCACACCATTGCTCAACTGGTCCCCAAATCCTGCTGTCATGTTTAATGACAGGATCATTGATGGTTGATTGGACTGTCCTCTTCTTTCAGAGATGGCGACAGGTCCTGTATACATGCTGAATGGAATGCAGCAAATAACTGCTCTGTTTATCACCCCGGGGTGAACTAAGATCAAGTGTCCCCAATATTTCCCATACATTGGAAGCTTCTCTGATTTGCATGGACCATTCCTAAATGTCTTGATATTTCTTTTTAATTTAGCCCCTCATTTGGGTCCTCAGAGAGGTTGAAGATTTGCTAATCTCTACTTCTCTCCATCTGTTCTTCTTTGAGCCTTGTGTGTTGGGCAAGCAGCCATTCTCTAGCCAGGAGTTACCCAGAGGCCACTAGCCTAGAAAGATCTTTACCTTTTTTTTTTTTTTTCCTGTTCTTGATCTAATTAGCTGACATGACTTAAGTGATGCAAATGGATAGCTAATAAATTGGCCAAACTGGCATATTGTGGAGAACAGATGAGGTCTAGAGATGGAGCACAAAGATATATGTGAAGTTATATTGCAATGAGACCTACAGCAATTAAGAACTTGCTCACAAATAAGAGGAATTATTTAGCCTCTAAAGAAGACAAATTAAAGAGTTTTAATGTTATGAAAGGTGCCCTGTAGCAAAAAGCTCCTTCATTTTTCACTTGACCTCTAATATAAGAACAATGAGTCACTCAGTAAGAGCTGGAGGAACTGCTTCTGAAAGGATAAAAAGAAAGAGTATTTTATGCTGTATGTGTGCTAACTTGTGGAATTTACTGCTGGTGGAATCATGGAGGCAAAAATTTTAGTTGGAAATAATAGTGAAATCTAGTTAGTGACTTGCAAAGTAAACTTATGATTTCTAAATTCAGCCTATGAGTAAAAAATATAACTCAGCTCAATTTATTATAAGATATATGTATGTATTAAACAAGTATATCATTGCATTTATAATAATGTTCCAATGCAATGTTCCATTGTCTGAGGGAACACTGCTTTCTTAAAAGACCGTATTCTGAGCAGGTATCAATCTCAAACTATGTGCCCACATGGATGCTTCCAGAAGCCGTGATTTAAGCAGCACGCTACTGATTTTTGGAGGCATGTTAGCTCCTCTAGGCCACCAGGATTCTATTAAGTGCTTTAGAAGAGGTAATCTAATCTACTGAATGGGCCTGGAAGATGGAAAGCACCTCTAAACACAAGCAACTCCTCCACTTCTCAGCAATAGGATCAGTGACCTGGGAATATTATTTCAGCTGCTTAGGAAAGGTGGGTGAAAGTGCTGGGCAGAGGGCAGGCAATTATCTCTTTGCTATGTGTTAAGCAGCATTTTCGCCTAGCTGATAAATTACTTCCAGCTGTTGGCAACAATTTTCTCCTCATCATGGCAGGAGCAAGAGACCCTGGCAAATGTTGTAGAGCGGTGCGAGCCGCTGATTAAATCCAAGATCCAGCTGGAGGCCAGAGTAAAGGAGCTGTCTGAGCGGGTGGAGGAAGAAGAGGAGATAAATTCTGAGCTGACTGCCAGGGGGTGGAAACTCGAAGATGAATGTTCTGAGTTGAAGAAAGAAATCGATGACCTGGAAACAATATTGGTGAAGTCAGAGAAGGAGAAGCGTGCTATGGAGCACAAGGTATTTTTTCTATAATGTTAAGAAGACCTAGCTGCTGGAATGCTACTCTCAAATCAGGCTCCAGTACCAGCCTTGCTCTGTTCAAGTTAATTAACACAGTGGCTTTCAACTCTACAGCACTGGGAGTCAGAGCTGGCATAAAGCAAAGGGTCTGATGAACTGTGCTGTTCCAATTCAAATTTCCAGTTTGAACTTATAGAACCCACTTAATCTCCCAAATGAAACATTTTCATTTGTTCCAATCTTATAGCATCCGAAATCTAATAGAAAGAGCAAAATGGTTTCATTGGGCCTTGAATTGTTCCTTTTTGGAAGGAGAGTGAGCATGATATGGTTTGCTAAAAGATGATTTGGGATGTGCCTGAATCCCCAGCTCTGGCATTGGTCTAGAGTTTGACCTTGAAGATGTCACTTTAATTCCAGTTAAAGACTTTGGTGTTTTGCTTGTTTTAGTTGAGGGTTTTAACTTGCACATCTATGTGGGGATTGAAGATAGTAAGAAGTCCGTATCGAACTTGTGATTAAACACCAAATCTCCAATATGACACTAATTTTGGTAGATGATTAAATAGCGCCTTTTATTTCTATTGATTCTTTTTCATAAAAAGCACATGGACCCGATGTGTCCAGCTTCCATTTTTGCAAATTCTATCAGCTGGAACCCATCTTTAACTGCCACTTTCTTGGGACACTGAGGTACAACACGATCACTACATGCCCCTTGAATCCTCAAAAGAAAGCTAAATTCCCTTTAGTGTTGTTATTGTTAAATAATGACATGGAATAATTGGTCATCCAATGAGCTATGTTAATAATATTTGATTAACCAGAATACCCCATTTCTTAACTACGCCATTAACAGATCATGTTTTGTGGAAGCAAAAGTAAATTCAGAGTTTTAAAAGGTATAGCAGGAATTTGGCTAAGTGTGGCTCTTGTTGACATTGGCTACCTCATGAGCTTTCTGGAGTGCAGAAGAGAGATGATGACCCTTAGTGTTATGCCCAACTTTCCAGTGGTGGCTTTAATGAAGCTGTCCTTGTCGTCTTCCCACAGGTCAAGAACCTGACTGAGGAAGTGGAAATTCTAAATGAGGATATTAGCGAACTTAACAGAGCAAACAAGGTGGTGCAGCAGGCGCATCGGCAGCCCCTGGATGACCTGCACCTGGAGGAGGAGAAGCTCCTCAACTTGAGCAAAGCAAATTTAAAATTGGAACAGCAAATCCATGAGGTAAGTCGCGATTTATCCAGCTAGTTAGCTATCTGTCAGCATATATACACACCTCCAATTTTTACTTAGTTAATTTATCTTGACAGTTTCAGGAAAACTTAGTAGCATAGTTTGTTTCTCTCATTATTGAAAAATAGAGGTTTTTTTTTTTTTTTCTTAACCTACAATAAACTACTGCAGTATAAGAAAGCCCCAGCATGTAATCTGTCAGTTTTTAAATGCAACTTTCATTTAACCCTGGGCAATGGGAGAACATTGAACTGAATGGTAAAGGGTTATCCCTCTGGGTGGCTGGCTTTTCCCCTTAGCTCCCACAGAACCTGGTATTTTGCCCCACAGATACACTGGTATTCTATTTGACACTGGTATTGGGGGATTAAAGACCAAGTGTCTCCAGTGGTGTGCTATTTATTTATAGTTGAAAGACATGTAAGTCACAAACTGTGTGTTCTACTCATACTATTGGAAAATACTTGGCTGGGCGCGGTGGTTCACGCCTGTAATCCTAGCACTCTGGGAGGCCGAGGCGGGTGGATCGTTTGAGCTCAGGAGTTAGAGACCAGCCTGAGCAAGAGCAAGACCCCGTCTCTACTAAAAAAGTACGGAAAGAAATTAGCTGGACAACTAAAAATATATATACAAAAAAATTAGCTGGGCATGGTGGTGCATGCCTAGTCAGAGCTACTCGGGAGGCTGAGGCAGGAGGATTACTTGAGCCCAGGAGTTTGAGGTTGCTGTGAGCTAGACTGACACCGGCACTCTAGCCAGGGGGAAAAAAAAAATGAAAATATTTGTAAGATTCTAAAGATTATGTCCCTGTTCTGCCTCTAAACACCCAGTGAAATAAAGGTGATTTCGACCATTCTCAATGTGTAGGTTCATAATCCTTCTTCTCCCTCCCCAACTGGCATAGCATATTCATTCATGTTCTCATTAGTCCCCAAAACTTAGCCTTTATAAAACTGCTGACAAGGGTAGGTGTTTTTTTTTATTATCTGCTTTTCTCTCCCACTTCTCTATCAGTTTCCTCGAATACCTGTTAATTGTCTTACATTTCTTCCTATTTTAACTAATTGCATATCTCACACAGCCTCAATATAAAGATTTATAGACGTCTCTGTGTGTGCTTGTGAATGCATATCACACACACACACCCACATTCACGCACAGTGGTGTCTCGGTCCATTCCAGGTGGTAGAAAAAAATACCACAAACTGGGTGGCAAATAAACAACAGAAATTTATTTCTCACAGCTCTGAAGCCTGGGAAGTTCAAGATTACAACATTGTAGACTTGGTGTCTGGTGAGGGCCCATTTCCTGGTCCATAGAAGGCACTTTCTCGCTGTGTCTTCACACGGTAGAAGGAGCAAGGGAGCTCTCTGGGCTCTCTTTTATAAGGACTTATCCCATTCCTGAGAGTTCCACCCTCATGACCTAATCACTTCCTAAAGGTACCACCTCCCAACACTGTCACATTGAGGATTAGGATTTCAACACATGAATTTTGAAGGGATATAAACATTCAGTCTATAGCACCTGAAGTACATCTCTCTACCTTCAGGTTTTTACATATATTATTTCCAGAAATTCTCCTTTTCTCCCAATTTGAATTTCATATCTTTGGCTACAGAAAATCTTCCGTTGCTGTAAAGTAAATATATCAATACACAAAAAGCCATATTGTCACTGTTATCTAGCTTCCTGCCAAACTAAGTTCTACGTCATTAGTGGCAATACTAATACAGACAAAACTAGAATGTTCTGACCAGCTTGATGGGGAACCAGAATCCTACATAATGTTATGGACTGAAAGAGGATACCAGGTGGATACCAGAGGATGCCACATGAGAATGTGTTTGAAAGGGTCAGTGATGCCCAGGAGGTCTGCCAAATATTCATGGATGATCACGTGGAGACAGATTTGTTTGGCATTGCTCCAGGGAACAGAGCTTGTACTTCTGGATAGAATTTACGGAGAATATTTTAGCTGCTTATGAAGAAGTACTCCCGAGCAAATGGACTTATTCACCCATGAAATGAGCTGCCACGTGAAGAAGTGAGCTTCGTGTCTCTGGAAAGAGATAAAACAAGGGCTCACTGGCCATTTGTTATTGGTTCCTTCCCTAGGACAGAACTCAAATTCCGTAATCTCTAAAGTTTTCTTTCATCACTGTGACTTCTAGATTCTTTTGGTAACCTATCAATAACACACAATATTTATTTTGAAATATATGTAAGTGGGCATCATTGACAGAATCGGTGCTTATATCTTTCTTTTTCCAGGAGGCAAGGGGTTAATGAATACATCTAGTGAAATATAAACTGTACCTATTTATTTGGCTAAATAATCTCTTTCTTTTTGTCAGCTTGAGAGTGCCCTTGAGCAGGAAAGAAAAGTGAGAATGAACTGTGAAAGGGAGATGTGCAGACTGGAGAGCGATTTAAAGCTGAACCAGGAAAGTACGGAGACTTGGCCAGCGGCCAGCTGCAGCGAACGGAGAGGCTGAGGAAGTAAGCTACCTTTCTGTTGGCGTGACATTCTGGGAGACCTTTGTGGGAAGTAGCAGTTCTCTCATTTCATTTATCCCTGGTACTCCAGGGCTAGATATCTTAAGAACAAAGGCAAGGATAACAAGCCTAGGAAACGGATTTTTCCTTTGCTGGACTTTATGGATTTCCTTTCTTTTTACAACCATATAATAATCTAGAAATTGGGGTAGGGAACCTGTGGCCTTGGGGCCACACGTGGCCTTCTGGATCCTTGAGTGTGGCCTTTTGATGGAATCCAAATCTTACAGAACGAATCCTTTTAATAAAGGGATCTGTTCAAAAGGATTTGTTCTGTGAAGTTTGGATTCGGTCGAGGGGCTGCACTTAAGGGCATATAAGATGTGAGTTATTGGGAATTTGACGCTACAAGGCAAAAGTAAAAATGGCTCACTGCTTTGACGCATGATGTGACCAATGTCATAAAATATGAAAAAATAATTGATTCTGGTCTGATATACCCTTTGATAATTTAAATATTTGTTTATCAGATATAACTTCATTAATATTTATGTAGTTTTTATCAAATAATTTACTATATAAATATTAACTCTCAAAATCTAAAGCAACACATGAAAATGATCAAAATTAGGGAAATTTTCAGTTCAATCCATCAGTGAGATGGATTTTCTCACCTGTCCCTTTAGTCATCTTTTGTTTAGATTTTTTTAACCATTAGGAATTTTCAACTTATTTAGATTATACCAAATGAGAGGGGGGAAAACAGGTCCAAGACTAAGATAAATTCAGGCTAAAGCTAGTAGCATATCGATGGGTGGGGTCCGCGGTAAAAAAAAAGAGAGGGAAATCAAGTGACCAGCTATGAACTTCTAGTTTTCTTGTTTGTGTAATATTATACATGCTCTTGGCACAGCTTGATTAATATTCTGCTAATGAGTTACTGAACTTAATAGGTGTTTAGAGAAGATTAAATAAGTGACCTTCCAAATGTAATGAAAGGCAAAATGATAGAGTTTCCTTAGCATTCAATTTTGATCATTATATTTCAACTCAGCAAAGTGAAAATGATGCTTTATGTCCTTGTAGGCCGCAGGTAAAAGAGTTTCAGCATTTTAGAAATCTATATTTGTAGGAAGTTGTAACTTTATTGTGAAACCTTTTCTCTAAGCGGACCTATATGTATTTGAAACTTCATACATGATAAAAATGGCATTTCAAAACAGTGATAATAGGATAGCATTTAATAAATGGTGTTGGGATTATTAGCTATTCATCTTCTGATGTAAAAGTTAGATTCCTACCTCATACTATTCATACATACAAAATTCAGTTGCATGAAAGAATTCAAGTGTGAAAACAAAGCTATAAAACCATTAGAAGAGGCAACATTATTTGCGATAGCCAATATGTTGAAACAACCTATATATCCATTGATGTATGAATGGATAAAGAAAATGTGGTATATACATACAATGGAATATTATTCAGCCTTAAAAAATAAGGAAATCCTATCACATGCAACAACATGGATGAACCCGATGGTCTTTATACTAAGTGAAATCAGCCAGTCACAAAAGGACAAATACTGCATGATTCCACTGATACAAGGTATGTAAAATAATCAAACTCATAGAAAGTCATGCAATGGTGGTTGTCAGGGTCTTGGAGGAGGGGGGATCCCAGTGGGAAGAAGCTGTTCAATGGGTGTCAAGTTTCAGTTACGTAAGATGTCTAAGTTCTAGAGATCTGCTTTACAACGTTGTGCCTACAGTTAACAATACCGTATTTTGCACTTAAACTTTTTTTAAGAGGGTAGATTTTATGTTAAGTCTTCTTATTACAATTTTAAAAATATTAGAAGAAAGTATAGGTGATAAGTCTTAGGAAATTGACAGGTTAAGTCATCTTGAACAAGTCACAAGAAACCAAAGACATATAAGGATACTGATGAATTTTCCTACATCAAATTTTTAAACGGGTATGTGATAAAAGCCAATATAAATAAAATTGAGATAAGCTATAATGTGAGAAATTTTGCAACAGATATTAAAAATATCAAGAATATTAAGAGAAAATCTATAGTTCCATAATTAGATGAATGACCTATAGAAAAATGGTCAACGACACAAACAAGCAGTTGATTTGGTTTACTGGCCATTTTTTTTTATTTCAGCATATTATGGGGGTACAGATGTTTAGGTTACGTATGTTGCCCTGGCCCCCTCCCCCCCAAGTCCGAGCTTCAAGTGTGTCCATCCCCCAGATGGTGCGCATCGCACTCTTTGTGTATGCATATGTTCATCCCCTCCTCCCCCCTCCCCACTGCCCGAAATCCAATAAATGTTATTCTTATATGTACACTTGTGTGTTGATCACTTAATATCAATTTGATGGTGAGTGCATGTGGTGCTTGTTTTTCCATTCTTGGGTTACTTCACTTAATAGAATGCATTCCAGCTCTATCCAGGAGTATACAAGAGGCGCTATATCACCATTGTTTCTTAAAGCTGAATAGTACTCCATGGTACACATATACCACATTTTATTAATCCCCTCATGTATTGATGGACACCTGGGTTGTTTCCACATCTTTGCAATTGTGAATTGTGCTGCCATAAACATTCGGGTGCAGGTGTCTTTTTCATAGAGTGTCTTTTGTTCTTTTGGGTACATGCCCAGAAATGGGATTCCTAGAACAAATGGTAATTCTACTTGTATCTCTTTAAGGTATCTC